ATTTAACTGTTATACGAGAAAACCATTTTCGTTAATTACATTTTGCTTCCAAGACGTCATTCTTTAAAAAAATTTTTTGCTTTGTTAATTTTACAGTAGATTTTATTTTTGATTGAAGCACAATCGCGCACAACGCATAACACGAATATTGTGTAGTCCCCTTTACTTGGATTCACATAGAAAATTCCGTTGAAATAACAAAATAATTTAAATAAAACAAAGTTGAACAAGAAAGGTAGGAATTTAAGTCTACATTTAACCGCAATTTTCCAGCATGTTTTGTACATTGATATTGAAAAGCTAGTAGCGTGTGCATGGTTGTGATTATAAAGCTCGTACCATGTGTAGTTGTTGCAAATTCAAATTTTTGTTTACATTTGCCCTTCACGTGCTATTTTTTAAGTAAAATTTTTTTTTTCTTTGAAGAATTTGCAAGCAGGCAGGCACAGGCTGAACCGAAACATATTTATTGAGGAATTTCTTTTGAAAAAATTCAAAAATCAAGTGTATAAATATAACATGCAATATAAAAAATATAAAATTAGCGAAATAGAACAATATTATTTAAAAAAATTAAGTAATTAAGGTAGTTGGTTTATGAGCGCCAATCCACTTTATTTTCCATATTGCTTTGAGCCAATTTTTTATTTTGCTCACAGCTTACAAAAATAATTTATATTTCATTTATTTATATTCATGAAAAAACGCCTGTTTCATATCGGACATTGCCTGGCACTGTATTTCATTTCAAGAAAGCAATGCCAGCAATGCCAGCTAAAATTTTTATAAAGTTTGCGCTTATTTGAAAACGAAATGTAAAGCAAATGTAGGAGATTAAATGTGGTGAAAAGTGGTAAGAGTGAATTTTAATGTGAGCAAATAAATTGCAGTTTTAAAAATATATAAAAATATCCAAAATATAGATCATGAATACCATACATAATATAATTAATTGCCTTAATATTTTTGAGCTTTTGGTATTCTTTTGATTTTCTCCAATTTTAGTGATTTTCTTATTAGATATGCACGAAACATCCCTCTAGTTGGAACTTACAGCAACAAACACTTTTCAACCGCTTTGATTTGTCATTGGGAAAATCAAACTTCTTTCCTGTTGTTGTATATTAATTTATATAATTTATATTTAAATATAATAAAAGAAATAGCTTTATTTATATGTTAGCTTTATTATACATTTAAAATACTTTATTAATATATATAAAAATATATATATATAGAAAAGAAATTGTTATTCTTTTTAATGGTTTCCTGATTGTTTCCGATTCTTTTTCCTTGACTTGGTCGCTTTTGCTCTTCTATCATCTCCTCTATATTTACCATTTAAGCTGTTAAGTTGGGCTTTTAACCATTTAACAGAGCTGCCATTTTTAGACCACTTTTTACAAGAAACTCTGCACTTTGCCTTTTAACAGGGAATTTAGCGAGGGCTTTGTTTAAAAATTATGGTGGTCTAATTTTAGGCTAGCTTGTAAAATTGAAGAAATTAAGAAATATTATATGAAAACATAGATTTAATAATAAAAAATAAAGAAACATTAGATACTAAATATCCTAAAGTTTTCACTTTCACTACTTAATTTTCTACTACACTACTTTTCTTTTCCTTTCCCTTTGTTTTGCCGACGGGTTTGTATTTTAACAGAGTTGGACCTTTGTTTTCTGTTAAGTTAGCCTAAAAGTTGACCGCCATAGTTTTTTTTTTTTATTATCAGATTAAAAAAAGCAGTAGCAGAATTCTCTGTTAAAAAGGCAAAGCAGTAGTGGAAGAATCTGCAGCCACAAAAATAGTGGTTTTTTATAACATTGCCAGATCAATATAATCAATGCTGATTTTTATTTAGGCAGCGATAGCCAATGCAACAACCTTTTTGTTATATTTTATCAATTAATATAATCGACAATTGTTTTTTTTTACCTGCCAGCATTAGAGTATCACTTGGCACTTCCACTACTACTGCTACATTCCACACTAGTTAATATCGAACATTTAAAATTTCTTGTATTTTACAAGTTAGCTTAGAATTAAACCGTCATAATATTTAAACAAAGTCCTCGCTAAATTCCTCGCAAGTACAGAGTTTCTTGTAATAAATAAGAAAAATTGTCAAAAAATGGCAGCTCTGTTAAATGGTAACGCCACTGTGTTATCTAACGGACCAAAAACGGACCAAATTATCTAACAAAAATTAGCAAAAGCCGTCGGCAAAACAAACAACGGACCGAATTATCTAATTTGCTATAAAAAATATTTTTTTGGGTATAGCAATCTCAGTATCAGAATTTTGACGAAAATAGCAAGACATTTTTCAAATTAGTAAAGATGCTTTTATTAAAGATATCAATATTTTTTATGGACTTTCGGTTTTCATTTGTCAGAGCAACTAATTCTCGTCTTTGCTATAAAGGTTTTTGCTAGTGAGGTCTACATAATAGAAATTTTACTTATTATCAATTGGGAATAAATCTCTAAAACAAAAAAAAAAATTTAACGAATTTGAGCGAAGGCAATGAACCCGGTTTTTCCGTAAGATGTATTGAAGCGGAATTTCTGAAAATGTTTGCTTTATGCGAATTTTGAATTTGTATGCATAGATTAATGCGATGAATTAATAAATTAAATTCATTTTTTGCATATATCTAAAAAAAGTAAGTGTTTTCAATGTTGTTTTTTTTTAAATGCGAAAAAAGTATACGTTAATATTGTTGTTTGTATATACAGTTGTTTTCGATACCATATGTTGTTGCGCCAAAGGACTTTTTCCTTGATTTGGTGATATGTATTTTAATTAAGCAATAATTTAAAATTATGCAAATGCTGAATTATTAATTATCACATATATACATAAACATAAAAGACGAAAGTGACTATTAAAAGCATGGAATTTTTTGAAGACTGCGTCATTGTATTCGCGTTTCAGGTGAGTTTTTCAGTATAAATGAAAGACGGTCTTATTATTGTGTACTGTTTAGCTTCTCTTCTTTGCAGGTGGTGCTTTTTTGTTAAGCAGTTTTTTAAAAAAAATTTCTGAAATTCGCTACATATCTGTGTGACTTATATTCTTTGTGATATTTGCTTTATCTATAATCATGTTTGAACTAATCATTTTTGAAATTCCCGGTGTTTTGGAAAGCAGTTCACGTCATTTTTATTGGCGTTTAGGGTTAACACTTTTGCTGTTAACGGTGATTGTCGTTATTCCATTGCATATATTTTATTCCAATATTCATAGCATAACTTTCGTTAAGTGCTTGTTAGTTTCAGAAAATTGCACTTTTTCATATCCTTGCCTTTTCATGCAATGCCTGAAAAATGGGCACGGATCATAACGATGAATTGTTGGCTTGCTTCTCTTTATGGTCCACGGCGAGTGCGCTATCCATTTCCTTTGCTTAGCGTTTCTTGTCACGGACGTTTAGAGTTTATTCATTACCTCCGCGGCCCGTTTGTATCCCAATTCGTTCGCATACGATAGGTAGGCGGTATAAGTTGTTCCTGCGTGTTTGGTAGTTTCTTGGTTTAAGTTTCTCATATTGAGCCTAAGACTTGCCAGCTCATATTCCACCATGTCAACGGTTACTGCCCAGTCCAATTCTTTACTTAATCTTTACGACGGACTGTGAATACCCTACAACTTCGGGTATTTACGTAACAATCTGCTCAAAATTTCATGCGGTATGAATACCATCGTTTTTACTACATATCCTATTGTTCGGAAAACATAAAAAAATACAAAAATAATGATGTCTCAAAAAATGCAATAATGTAATAATTTTATTTATTTATATTTTATAATTACAATTTTGTTTATTTATTTATATTTCAAATCACAATGGCAGATTTTATTAATGAATAAAGAATATACTGAAGGAGAGAGAGGACTTTTTATGATTTGAGGGGACCGACATAAATAAGGGTATACCAGTTGTAGACGAACTTTAAGAAACGACCGTAAACATGATGAGAAACGACTCTGACAGTGAGGTAGAGGGGGAAACAGAACCGACCGATAGGCCTGACGGGACTATTACGTCTAGTATGCCTAATGCGGAAAGCCCTGTCATTACATTATACGCTCCAATATTTAGTAATGTAATTGATATGACGGACTATCGACATCAGCGCAGGCACCGCTGATGGCGGAGAATCGTTGGCTCAAACCCGAATTGGAACTCATGAGATGCTATTTGACCTATACTGATGCGATAGCCATGCACAAGCTGACAGGAGAAGTAGCTGATAGCGGAGACAATGACGCTCTCACAAAAGTCGTGGAAAATTTGACTCTCCATTGCAAAATCACCCAA